TTGTGTTCCTTAGTTCTTTGAACACACCATATCTGATTTAAATTCTTTGTCTGGTAAAGCCAACATCTAGGACCTCTCAGGGACAGGTTTATTGACTACTTTATTTCCTGTGTGGTCACACCTTTCTGTTTTTTAGCATTTTCTGTCATTTTTTTGAAAACTGAAATTTTTAGATAATATAAAGTGGTAACTCTAGAAATAAGATACCCCCAAGGGTCCTGGGTTGTTGTTTTTTGTATTATTTGTTTAGTGACTTTCTTGGACTGATTCTGTAAAGTCTTTATTCCCTGGAGAGTACAGCCAGGGAAGTTTCTGCTTGGTTAGTTTAGTGTTCAGCTAATGTTGGTCATACAATTTCTTAAGCAGGTTGAAATAATAAATCTTTTATATTTTAAAGTATATTTTATTAATTATGACATTACAGTTGTTCCATTTCCCCCCTTCATTCCTCTCCACCCTGTACACCTCCTCTCCCACCATTCCCCCTCCTTTAGTTTATGTCCATGTGTCACAAGTTATTTGGATTCTATATTTTCCATACTATTCTTACCCTTCCCCTGTCTATTTTCTACCTACTGTCTATGCTACTTATTCTCTGTATCTTCTCTCCCCTTCTTCTCCTCCCACTCCTCTGTTGCTAAACCTACATATGATCTCCATGGTTCTGCTCCTGATCTAGCTGTCCTTTTAGTTTGCTTTTGTTTTAGATGTGGTTGTTAATAACTGTGAGTTTGCTGTCCTTTCACTGTTCGTATTTTTATCTTCTTTTTATTAGATAAGTCCCTTTAACATTTCATATAATAAGGGCTTGGTGATGATGAATTCCTTTAACTTGACCTTATCTGAGAAGCACTTTATCTGTCCTTCCATTCTAAATGAAAGCTTTGCTGGATAGATCAATCTTGGATGTAGGTCTTTGTATTTCATGACTTGGAATACTTCTTTCCAGCCCCTTCTTGCCTGTAAGGTCTCTTTTGAGAAATCAGCTCACAGTCTGATGGGAACTCCGTTGTAGGTGACTGTCCCCTTATCTCTTGCTGCTTCTAGGATTCTCTCCTTCATTTTAGTCTTGGCTAATGTACTTATGCTGCGTCTTTGTGTGTTCCTTCTTGGGTCCAACTTCTTTGGGACTCTCTGAGCTTCCTGGATTTCCTGGAAGTCTATTGCCTTTGCCAAATTGGGGAAGTTCTTCTTTATTATTTGTTCAAATAAGTTTTCCCTTGTTGCTGTTCCTCTTCCCCTTCTGGCACTCCTATAATTTGGATGTTGGAATGTTTAAAGATGTCCTGGAGGTTCCTAAACTGCTCCTCATTTTTTTGAATTCTTGTTTCTTCATCCTTTTCTGTTTGGCCATTTTTTTCTTCCTTCTGGTCCACTCCCTTGATTTGAGTCCCAGTTTCCTTTCCATCACTATTGGTTTCCTGTGCATTTCCCTTCATTTCACTTAGTTTAGCCTTTATTTGTTCTTCTAATTTATGACTAAAATCAACCAGCTCTGTGAGCATCCTGATCACCAGTGTTTTGAACTGTGCATCTGATAGCCTGGCTATCTCTTGGTTGCTTAGAAGTATTGATTCTGGGGCTTTGAGCTCTTTTTCTGCGTGAGCCATGTTTTGGTCTGTTTGTGCCTGTTACGTATGAGGGGCAGAGCCTTAGGTGTTCACCAGGGCGGGGCAACCCAGGTTGCTGGGTTGTGACGCTAAATGTGGGGGCGGGGCCAGATAGGGGCAATGGCGTTTATTCTGCTTTCTCTCAGATTTCAGTCCTTTCTGCTGCTTCCCTCAAGCAAATTGGGCCCTCTGGTGCTGGTTCCCAGGTGTGTGGGCTTGTGCACCCTCCAGGACCCTGTGGGTCTCTCCAATGAACTCTCTGTGAGCCTGGGAGCTTCTCCCAGCACCTCAACCCTGAAAGTTTTTCCAGTAGGTGCTTTTAGGCTTTATTTCCCAGCACTGGGGCCCTGGTTTCACTGTCTGTCTCAGTGCTCACTCCTCTGCCTGGTTTGTCTGTGTGCTACTATGTGACCACGAAAGTGTGACTGTGGTCAGCCAGCCCTCACTGGGTCCGCCCATTGCCACCCCACACCTGGGATCCACCAACCACCGCCTGTGCAACCCAGCTCCTCCAGCCACTGTCTGGCTGAATGGTTCATTGTTGTCAGACTTCCGTACAATTCAATTTTCTGTGTTTTGGTAGTGTTTTTGTCTTTGAAACTAAAGACAGCTAAAAGTTTGTTGTCTTTAAACTTGTTTGTGTGAGGAAGCACAGTGTTTCCACCTATATCTCCATCTTGGCTGAAAGTCATTTTTTAATTTTTTCATGAGAAGCTCTGTGTGTATCAGGGAATAGTCTCAAAACTCAAGCAGTTTAAAATTCTACCTTAGATTTCATCTTCTGCTTGTGCATCAAGGTCAGCCAGAAGTCAGAGATTAGAGCCCTCTTAGATCTGGACATACACATAGCCCCACCCATGTGTGTGGCCTTCATGGTCTGTAGGAACATAACAAAGCTTGTCAAAGTCCTTTATGAACCTCTCAATTTCTTTTTAACTTTTTGTCTACCTCTTGTTTACCCCAACTGATGTCACAACATCAAGTAGAGGCAATATTAAACAATTGCTGCTGTTTATTTTTGGAAAATACTCTCTGGGTCTTGATTTGGGTCAAATAATGACAACAGCCTTTTAAGTGGGTCTTTTCTAGAGAGCTGAGACAAGTAAAATAATGACAAAACCATGGGAATTAGATATTATGAGGGACTTTAACCCTGTCTGCTTCTTCTGGGGGCTGCAAGACAGCTAGTTTTCAAGGTTACTGTAGAGTGTAGAGACAAATGAGGGTAGGTCAACTTTAAAAACCACCAATCTTTCTGTTCTTAACATAGTTAGCAGATTTACTTTAGGAAACAAGCCTTAGATAATTGCAAGCCTTTGGTGAATTTACAGCATTCTGAAAAAGTTGATTTTGACAAGTTTTTCCTTGTATATGTATTGCATTAATGGGGGGTGGATATGTGGAGGTCCTCACTCTACCATTCCAGAACTCTCCCCATGGTCTCATTGGGTCCTGTGGCTCTTTCTTTTAAGGGTACCTGAGATTTGCTTTAATCCGGTTTAGTAAAACATACAGGCATGAAAATGCCTGTCATAAGGGAAGAAGTTTATACTTGCTGTCCCCTAGAAGCAGGAGCCACAGCGTGTCATGTAGGGTCACATGAGAAAAATCAGGATTGTTTAGGAGGCAGGCAGACTGAGGGAAAGACATGATCAAGAGCTTTTCCAGATTTCTCTGGAAGGAACAAGTGAGGCAGCGTAAGCTGGGATAGTTTGAATGTTATCAGGGTCCTGAGCAATAAGGGTTACCCCAGTTGTCTGGTACCTGGCCCTGGGATGAGTAAGGAATAAGGCAAGAAAACTGTGGCTTAACATGTAAAAACCTGATGAAGGAGGTGGTTGGGGTAAGACCTGTTGATTGTTGGTTTGCATCTGAAACATGCGCTCCCAGGTAAGTGTGCACTAGCTCTAGGAATTGGTTAGCCCTGGCAGGGGCAGTCCCTACAGGGTCAACGATGCTCCACGATGTATAAGTATTAAAATATAGAACAAAAAGATATGGTTAATACATTCTCTGTAGTTTCCAAATCACTATTGAGAAATAAAAGTCTATGGTCTTCCCTCCCAAAATGCATGACACAGCTTGTCTGGGATCCTATTACCTCCTCAGGAGGGTCAACAGGGGCTAAGGATCACTTGCTTCTTATGACCCCTGGGCATAATTTTTCCTACTCTGGGGGACACCCCACCCTCCCTCTCTAGAGCACAGGTATTTCCCTCTAACCCAACCTTCCCAGGTGAGCTATCTCAAAATATTTGTTGACTCAAATTATCCTGAATCACTGACAATTTTTTTAAACAGTTTACCCTTTTTTAAGGACAGAAAAGTTTTAATCTGCTAGGACATGAAGGGAACATTTTCTATATCATTCTTTGGCTGTTGCAAAAAAAGAGGAAGAAAAAGTAGAACAGTTCAGTTTTAAAATTTAAAATGTGACCACCTATACTCTGTCACATATATACATATATATGGCATTTACATATAATTTTGACATTAGATAAATACAAAGATATATAGTTATTTAAATATCCTTTGCCTTTCCTTAACGCCTTCCTTGATTGCCACCATTTAGTTTCTAATCGATTCTGTCCTCTCTCCACTAATTTTAATTTCTCCTTTTTGTTTAATAATGGTTGTCCATGCTTCTTTTATATCAGTTTTCTGGATTACTACTATTTGTATCTTTGCATGTGCCTTCCACTAGAATGTTAATTTTTATGTGAAGGCCCAGCATTTGCACATATATGTAGTAGAAACTAAAAAGCAAGGTGATCAGCCCTGTCTGGTGTGGCTCAGTGGATTGAGTGCTAGCCTGTGAACTAAAGGGTTGCCGGTTTGATTCCCAGTCAGGGCAAATGCCTGGGTTGTGGTTGCAGGCCAGGTCCCCAGTATGGGGCTAGCAAGAGGCAACCACACATTGCTGTTTCTCTCATTTTCTTTCTCACTCCCTTCCCCTCTCTCTAAAAGATAAATAAATAAAACCTTTAAAAAAATAATGAAGTCTAGGGAGACAGTTTTCTTATTAAAATTTTTTTTTAAAAAATTAAAAGTAAGGTGATCAAATAGACATGATCACCTTCACAAAGTAATAACATTCAATAATAAGTAAGAAGTGGCCTCTTGGACTTTATCTAGTGGTTCTTTTGATGATTCCAAAAGTTTTAAAAAGATAAAAGCCTGTCCCTCTGAAGAAAGCGTATGATTAAAAAAAAAAACAGCATTCAATAGTAGAGTTGGTTATAAACACTCCTGAAAATGAGGCCTGAATTTTGTTATGCATACCATGTAGAAACTTCTTCAGAGGCACTTGGAAGAGGAGACAAAACAGGAGATGATAAAGAACTGTGGCAGCAGACTAGAGAAAAACTAGAAGTATGAGTAAGTATATACATGAAGTGGTGGCTTTGTGGTCTTCTGTTACCCATTCCTGAAACAGGCCTTGAGAATGTAGTTGTCCTGAAGGAGACATCATTCTGTAGCTGAGAGCAAATATACAATTCCAAACTCAGCTCCTCAGAAGAAACAAAGATGCGCCCCCGCCCCACTATCCACCCCCCCCCCCGCCCCCGCCACCTGCCTAGTCTGATCCTTTAAGTCTGGGCCTATCTCAGTAATGAATAATATGACTTGCAATTGCAAAAGATTACTTAAAATAGAAATGTGTCTTTTATAGATGTGGTAGTTGTGGAAGGCAAGTTTAATTTCTTTTAATGTTTAAACTAAATAAAAGCTTCTCATTGGAAACATACCACACTTGGAAATTTTTCTACATGCTACAGTGGACTCTTATTTTAAATACAAGTTCTACTGGTTTGCAGCTTTGATTGAGTGGAGAGGAATAGATTCTGAGTTAGGTTATAAAGACTGAAGAACAATGTAAGGAATAGCCAGAGTGGATTAAAAATTCTGTGCCATTCTCTTTAAGCCTGGGTTTTTTAGTTTTGATTAAAAAGATCACAGAGAAGGAATTACTTAGATTCCTTTCTAAGGTGCTTGTGGGCTTAAAAGAGCAAACTGATAAAAACAGAAATATTAACTACACTCCATTTCTGTTATGTAGCCCATGTCCCTTTGGGTGAATGATTAGGCCTGGCTTTGGTTGCACAGATCACTGGTTAGATTTTTCACTTGGGGACATATACAGCAGTCCTCCCTTATTTGTGGCTCTGCTGGCCATGCTTTCATTACCCATGGTTAACTGTGGTCTAGAAATACTAAATTGAAAATTTCAGAAATAAACTATTAATAAGTTTTAAGTTGCATGCCATTCTGATGAAATATTACATCATCTCCCTCTGTTTCCCTTGAGACATGAATCATCCCTTTGCCCACTGTGTCCATACTGCATATACTACCCACCCCTTAGTCACTTAGTATCCTTCTTGGTTATCAGGTCCCTTGTTATAATATCAAAGTGCTTGTGTTCAAGTAACTCTTATTTTCCTTAATAATGATCTCAAAGCCATTCGCATAACTTTTATTATAGTACACTGTTATAATTAATCTAATTTATTATTAGTTATTGTGATTAATCTCTTATACCCAATTTATAAATTAAGCTTTATCATAGGTAAGTATGTATAGGAGAAAACATGGTTATATAGTGTTCATTACTATCCTTGGTTTCAGACATCCACTGGGTGTCTTGGAATATATCTCCCATGAATAAGATATAACTACTATAAGAAAAAACAAGAACAGGATGTATCTGATTGTGATCTTTTTTATACATATAACTCAGTTCAATAATGACATAAATATGTATACATTATCTCTCATTTCTTGGTATAAAAATGGGAAAAATTTGGGAAAATTAAAAAAATACTTAAGGCAAAGTAAAGTTTACAATCATTAAATTTTGACTGCCATTGTTAGTGGTGAAATGGCACCAGCATGTTTCCTCCATTCAGCAACCTCAGTGCTTGAGTTCTGGCTAAGAACGAATTTAGAGACACAAGTCAGATACAAGCAAAAATTTACTTACGAAGTCTCAGAGGTAGAAGAAGTGAGCCAGCTGGGCTGCATGGGCTCAGGAGTAAAAGTTACAGAAGCAAAAGAAAGGTTCTTGAAGTTTAGAAGGAAAAAAAACAAGGATATGAGCACCTGGGAAAAAGAAGAGGGAGAAATGCTCAGGCATATGGTGGGAGGGGGGAGAGAGACAGAGACAGAGAGGAGACTTTCAATGACTCCTTTGTCGAGGGTTTTTAGTTCAGGGGAGGATCTCAGTAGAATATTCATCAGCTTTTCAGATGTGGATTTTCAGGGTTGTGGTCTCTACTAATTGGTCAGTGCCAGGGCAGGGTTCATTATTTACTGCAGGTGGTCCTGATGTCAACCAGGCACCACCCCAGCTGGCCTTGCTGCTTTTCTGGGCCAGTAGCTGAAACACAGTCAAGGCCTAGATGTATCTGTAGGACTTAGTGCTTAAGGGAATGGTCATGTGAGGCCTTATAGGAGGAGGAGGTCTGCCACATGACTGCAACACACCGGAGGAGGAAAGGTCAGGGGAAGGTCTGAACCACATTACCAGAGATATGAAAGGTCAGGAGGTCTAAACTGCATGACTAGTCATATGCTAGGAAAGAAAAGATCACCCTGAAGGGGAGGTCCTATTCTTCAGTTGTCTGTTGCTAGGCATCCAGGGCTTTCCTCCCTGGTGACATTCCATACCTGGTTTACTGGTCCTACTCTGCACATGCCTGACTAACTGCCTACTATGCCAACAGTACAGTTAATACAAATTTATTTCTCTCATCTGGGCTAAATAGAAGACAACTATTCCACTCTGTTTGAGTCTCTATGCTCAGAAACTTTTTGGTTCTGCTCACTTATTATGCACAGTATTTGAAGACTTTAGAGAAATGGGATATAAACATTTGTCACTTTGGTCTATTCTGCCTTCAAGTGACAAAGCCTATATTATTTGTTAACTTTAATTACTGTGGACAGGTCCTTATCTGTGCTTTGTAACTGGCAGATCCTGTCCCTCTGGTCATGGTGTTGGATGATACCAAATGACGCTTGGAAAACACCACTTTTTTTCCAGGACCAGGGATTCATCTGCCCAGTTAAGAGGGCAACAACACAAGGAGACCCCTCCATGAAGATGATACTCTCCTAATTGAGGTGCCAACTTGGAAACCACATCAGTGTACCCTCACTAGAGATGTACCTATGCATTGGAATGGCTTCACTGAAGTCTAAGTTCCATATTTTACAACCATTCACAATGCTTTATACAATTACTTTGTATCCTAAGGGAATTTTGCTTTTTCTTAATTTGAACCATATTTTTACTATCCAACCTTAGAGATAAAATGCTTATGAATATTCTCTCTCATATTTACATTAATTTGTGAAATCCTGACACTTTCGTCTATATTCTAAATGTCCCTATGTCCATGTTATTGGTTCTTCACCATTTAAAGGACCCTTTCATCTCAGCTTTGAGTTAGCCATTAGTAGTAAGTTGGACTTTTAGAAGAGCCAAGTGACAATGTAAATCAGTGTTCTCTTAATTAATGTCATTCTTGCTTCTCTTGCTTCTAACTGAGATAAGCCTTCCATCTGGGTGCTAGAATACAATGGTTCTTGGTGAAGACTGGAATGGAGTCAGGGCGATGGGTTGTTGGCCAAACAATGAAAAAAATAGATAATTGGAGGAATGGGTATAAATATTTCAGTTCATGTCACTGACATACCTCCCCAAATGTAATAAATGTTTGTTAAGTAAGAATTAATTGCATTGTACTGTATAATTATGAAATTCTATTAATTAATTTCTGGCATTAGATATATTTAAAGCTTTAACTTGTAAAATTAAAACTGTGATGGATATTCATAAAGTTGTTTCTTTTAAAAGTTCTTTCCTAAGATCCATCCATGTTGCTGCAAATGGCTGGGTAGTATTCCATTGTGTATATGTACCACATCTCATGCTAAATGAAATATGTCAGACAGAGAAAGTTAAGAACCATATGATTTTACTCATGTGGGATATAAAACTGAAAGCAACACATGAACAAACAAAACAAACAATCAAACAAAAACTCATAGACACAGACAACAGTGTGCTGGTTACCAGAGGAAAAGAGGCTGAAGAGTAGGAAAGGGGGTCAAATGCATGGTGATGGAAGAAAATTTGACTTTGGTTGGGGGTCACACAATGCCATATACAGATGATGTGTTATGGAACTTGAAATGTACATAATCTTATTAACCAACCCACCCCAATTAATTTAATTAAATATAAAAATAAAAGTAAAATTTCTTTTTAAAATATTAATCAAAATATTTCATATTGTGAATGTGACATTTGTTAAATATAGAAGTTTTTCTTTTCCTAGGAAATGAACCTAGGAAAAAAGAAAAAATTAAAATTGCTCGTATTCCCACCACTTTTAGGATTTGGTGTTCTAACATACCTATTTCCAGAATGTGTGGTATTCACAGGTGAAATTTTGTGGTACTCAACAAGATATAAATTATAAATACAAAGTAGATAAAAGTGCTCATTAAATAGTAAGCTCCCATTATTTAAATTTAATAAAACACTTAAATTATATCTATAAAAGTCATCTCTTTGTATTTCATCTCTACATCTCTCTCTAAGACTCTGAAGCCTAGAAAAAATTAGGTTTTTTTAGATGTGGCTTATATTTGGAATGACAACTATCCTGAGTATAAGGAGATATTCATGAAATAACACGGGCTGTCAATCAAATGCTTATAAGGGCCCCGCAACTAAAATTTCGTGGGCAAAGATGGAGTAATACAAATCTCCTAAACCTGTTCAGCCTGACCATAGGTTTCCCAATGCCCCCAGGAACTCAGAGCTGCTGTGGCATTGCTCACGAGGAGAGGCATGAGAACTCAGGGGCTAATCTGTGCCCTAACTGGGGACTTCTCTTCGATCAAACAGTGTCAGTTTTTCTCTTCCCTCTAGCAAAATGTACATAAAGGGAAATTATGCCTGACTTATCTACTAGAGTTTTCAAGAGTAAATAATGAAAAAGCTAAGGGAAAACTAATAGAACCAATTAATTTAACACTTCAAAATAAAATCTGACAGTTTCAAAACAAAGGCAAATGAGCCATCTCAGTTTGGAGAATTAGGCTGTGATATTCTTTCTCACCAAAGGAATTGTGTTAGCATCAAAAATAGTTTAGAAATAACTAAGCAGGTACAGCTCTGCATGCGTTAGCACTGAAGCTGATCTTATTTTAAATTTTACAAAGTTTTAAAAAGGGGAGAATGTGCACTTGACATCAGAGTCTTCTGAGAACTGACCTGCTAAGCCAAATGGAAACCACATGTAGATCTTTCGAAGCTGAAATGTATTATTAGAAGAACTTGAGTATGGGCAAAGAGAACAGATTATAGGAATACTTATAGGCATGATGGTTTAATTGTGCTTATTGGATTACAGGTTCATCCTGGAGTATTATTGGCATCTTTGTGCTGTGAACCCTGCTATTAACTTTCACACAAATTCTTTTAGATAATCCTTCAAACAAATTCTGTGAAAATATGTATCCTCATCTTACATATGAAGATACTGATAGTAGGAAGGTGTTAGTAACTTACCCAAAGTGTAACAATTCATAAAAGGCAGAGCTAGAGCATCCTTGAACAGTCTTTACAGGTCAGATAGTAGTTATAATTTAAGAAGACACATGGAAATTATGATAGACATCATACTGCAGGCTCTGGCACAAGTTTTTACTACACACAATATTTTAGACACAATATTTTAGACATAAAAAACGGTACTAGAAAATAAATACAAAAACAGTTTTATCTTAGTATCATAATATATTTCTATTTGGAATAATATATATGATCTTAATGTACAATTTTTCAGAAAGGAGGTGTCAGAGATGGAGAAGGTGCTATGATCAGCAATAAAAGCAAATATGTTCTTAGCAAGTGGTATCTATTCAACTCAGCATATCCCTGGTGATATGGTGCTTAACAGCATTACCACAGCAACAAAACAAGTTCAAGTGCACTAATGTTGTAGTTTGGCATATAAATGTTAACTTCGTGTTCTCCTTTCAAATGTTAAAGGGTTATCTGCTGTTTTTTTGCCTCTTCTGCCCAACCAGCTTCCGTTTCCATTTTATGCTATGCTTTTGGGCACCTGCCCCTCTTGTACTTGGAGTTTACCTCATGAAAGGTTTGCCCATGCTCCAAGAATAAAACAAGCAACTCAAACTTGGCTGGTGTAGCTCAATACATTGAGCACGGGCTGCAAACCAAATGGTACATCAATTCCCAGTCAGGGAACCTGCCTCCAGGTTCCCAGTAGGGGGTGCGTGAGAGGCAATCACACACTGATATTTCTCTCCCTCTTTCTCCTTCCTTTTCCTTCTTTCTAAAAATCTTTTTTTTAAAAAGTGCTCCCTGATTGGTTCAGAGTTGGTCATGTGTTGGTCGTGTGACACAGGGTGGTCAAATCAGAGTGAACCATGTTGCCTGTGTATTAGTTTCCTGTGGTTACTGTAACAAAATGTCCACAACTTGGTAGCTTGAAACAACAGAGCCATATTCCCTCAGTGTTCTGGAGACTGGAGTCTGAAATCTGTTTCACTGGGTCAAAATCAAGGTGTCAGCAGGGCCTTGCACCCTATGGAGGCTCTAGGAGATAATCTGTTCCTTACCTCTTCCAGGTTCTGATGGCTGCCTGGATTCCTAGGCTTGTGTCCATGTCACTGCCATTGACACCGATAATGCTTATCTAGACTTCTGGGAGCAGGCTGAGGGCAGAGAAAGGAGGGGCTTCAGGGGGAGGTAGAGCAACACCATGGAATTGAAACTGGGAGACTCTTCTGCACTGAATCATGCTCTTCAGGGCACTGAGGGCATGATGTGAATCCAGACAATATCTTTGGGAACTGCTCAGGGCCATGACAATGATATTGAGTTTTGCAGCATTTCTGGGAGATTGTGAGGCTTTAGTGAACTGACCTAGTGGCTTGCCAGTGCTCTTCCAGCGCAGTGTGTCCTGCTTCCGGCAGCAGATCCCCTGCCCCTCCCACTGAGGCCACCCTTGGTGCTGCTTGAGAGGCCATTCTTGGCACTTCCTGAGAGGCCAGGCAGGTTTTACAGTGTCCTTTTACTCTGTGAGCTCCAAGTATGGGCAACTCATTGCAGGGGGGAGCTAAGGTGTGTGGGAGCACAGAGATAATAGAGTACCACAGGAATTTCCAATACCTCTATGCAAGACTGCAGCAGGGGAAGAACCTTCCACTGAGCATGTGCAAGGCTAGTAAGGTAATTGGATAGGGGGAAAAGCCCTCCTACCTGCTTTTGGTAGCAGATGGGGGGTGGGACTGGGAGAGGGTAGGCACATGCCCTGTAGAGGTCATCAGAATAGTGGTAGGGGGATGCGGTGGACAAAAGGGCCTGTCAGTCAGGGAAAAGCCTAGTCAAGCCTAGGGAAAAGAAGGGATAGGTAAGAAGGTGGACCCACCCAGAGTGTGCAGAAGTTTGGGAAGGTAATTGGTCATTCAGAGGAAGCCCCTGGTCCATTCCACACCCAAAATTGATATAAACCCAGGGAAATGATGAAACTCTCACTTGCCCATCATACACTGCTCAGGACCTGCACTCAGACCGTGCACTGGCCTGGGCCATGTGACTGCTAAGGTCAGTCACATGGCTCACGGCCTCCAAGAAGGAATGTGAGTGAACTGAAGTGTTCTTTGATAGGTGATTGGATAAGGAAGACATGGTACATAGATACAATAAAATATTACTCAGCCATAATAAGAATGAGATACTACCATCTGTGACAACATGGATGGATCTTGAGACTATCAGTGGTAAGTGAAACAAATCAGAAAGAGTTAAAACCATATAATTTCACTCATATGTGGGATATAAAACTGAAAGCAACACATGAACAAATAAGAAAAACAAACAAAAACTCGTAGTTTTTGTGGGTGGGGTAGTCAAGGATAAAGAGGGTCAAATATATGGTGATGAAAGATCAAATGATGATGTACCATAGAATTAAACACTTGTAACTTATATAATATTATTAACCAATGTCATCTCAATAAATTTAATTAAGAAAAGGATATTATGATTGCATTTGAGGTTCATCTGGAAAATCCAGGACAATCTTCTCCTGTCAAGATTCTTAATGCAATCATATCTTCAAAGACATTTTTTCTTTATAACATTTATTGTGCCAGGAATTAGAATCATATCTTTGGGTGGCCATTATTCAGCCTACTATACCTGGGCCAAATTAATGAGCAGAAACATTATCACTTTTTGTCTGGATTTGGGCTTTGAGTGTGTGAGCCTGCAGATACCTCACCAGCTGGAGAAGACTAGCTGCCTGAGAACGGGACCAGCAGAATCCAGAGAGAGACAGCACCCTGATGACGTCCTTTTGGGATTCAGCCAGACCCACAACTGAGCTAGCTTCTGGATTACAAATTATTTGAGCCAGTAAACTTTCTTTTTTAAAGTTAGGTTATTGTTTTCTTTTTTGTCTAGAGAAAGACTAGGTATATCTACTATTAGAGTATATCTTCCAGAAAAGAACCTCACATTAGCCCCATTTCATAATCTCAGGGGTTTGGAAATTTTCTACTTAAACCCAATAATTTGGAATATTTATGTGTACATTTTATGAGTCTTACTTTGAGACAAAGGTAAAGTCAAGTTTTTCCTGAGAATTCCTGTTAGTTTTTTTCTCTTTTCCACTGTTCAGAGAGATTTCTTATCCTCTTCTTTCATACAGTTTTCTTTTCTCATCAACTGACTCCCACTCTATTTCTTTTTCTTTCTCACTTCAAAGGTCTCCTAAATGAAATGTGCCAAAGTGATTGAAATGTGGGCCTCAGAGAATTGCTGTCAGACTCTGTAACCTTTGGACCAGCCAGAATCCTGTGAGAGCATACGGGGCATATCGGTGGAAGTTTAGAAAAAATCATGAGAAATTTCATATTGGTAAAGTTCTTCCTCTGAGGGAAATTTTTTTTAAAGTTAACTTGTAAAATGGACATTGTATTTACTGACAATGTTTTTGATATGAAATATTCTGAGCATATAAAGTAAAATATATGTTGCAGATATAGAGACTTGAGGTAATGTGAAACAATGTAGTTTTTAAGATTTATTAAGAAGGGTTTCTTTTTTAAGTTTCATATGGTGTTTCTAAGTAACAATATGGGGAAACCTGGACTTAACAGTTAGGTATGTAGCAGGTGTGTGACCAGGAGAAAACTAGGTTGAAGGGGCGATGGTCAATGTTTATTCAGAGGGAGGTCTTTAGGAGATCTGGCAATGGCTCTCTTTCATTTGATGTGTTTATTAATAACTATAATCATGCCCACAAATGGCATGTTTATCAAATTCAAGTGTGACATGAGCTGGGAGAGACAGAAATTAATATACTGAATGATAGTACCCAAAACGAATATGATAAGCTGGACCTTGAACTAACTCAATGGAGACCAAATTTAAATGGCCTCTATATTAGGTTAATACTCAACATCCCAAATCTAAGATGGGGAACCTTTGGCTTAATGGCACTTTTGAATTTTTTTTGTTAACTGCTAGGTCAACATGAGCCAAAAATGTGTTAACTGAATTTTGGTTCTCTAGCTGATCAATAGAATTCAGAACTGGGTGAAAGATGATGCCTCTCAGTTCTGTCTCAGTTATTGTACTTTCAGTGAGGAGCAGGGAAACTGAGTTTGGTGCAAAGAGCAGTGATGAGGTGGTGACCGGCAGGAAACCACGCCACCTGAGAAAGTCCTAAAAGAACAAGGATGCTTAGTGAGAAAAGTTATATTTCCTAAGTCATAGATGTGTTTTCAAAATTTCAAACCATGCACAGCTCCAGGCCATATTTTTAGAAATTTAGATTCAATAGTTAGGCAGGAGACTTTAGGAGGATTTATAAACCTCTCCAGGTGATAATTAGATTAATTTTTAAAACTTGGATTAAATGACTCCTAGAGCACCTTTCAACTTATTTTAGAGTCCTAAAACTTTTGCTTTCCAAATTATACATTATTTTAAAATATTTTTAAAATATCCATTTGAAAATTGATCTAGTCTCAAATATATATTAGGTATTTGGTTTGTGTCAAATATCAAGTTAAATATTACAGAGTAAGTTCCAGACAAGATGGAGACGTAGGTAGAAACCCTTCACTTCCTTGCACAACCAAAAGAAGAATAACAACCAATCTAAAATCAATGAACAACCAGAAATGCAAAAAAAATCAAACTGCATGGAACTCGAACAACCAAGGAATTAAAGAAATAGTCAACCAGACCAACTAGACTGGTGAGATGGGCAGTTGGAGAAAACCTTCAGCGAGGCTGTGGACCATGAGGGCCAGGCTGGCTGAAGAAGAAACTGAGACTCAGAGCTGACTGTGGACTGCAGCAGGGGTTCCTGCTGGGGAAGAAACTCCCAGTCTCACCTGAGAGTTTGTTGGAAAGTGGGGCTAGAGCCCAGCAAGTGAGCTGCACCGTTCCCTCTCTGGCCCCTCCCCCACAGGCAGCACCACAGTGCAGCAAGGAGTGTTGCCCTGCCTTGGTGAATACCCAAGGCCCCACCCTCTTACAACTTAACAGGCGTCCTGAACAAAGAAATAGGGCCCGAATGAAAGAACAGAGTAAAACTCCAGAAAGAGAGCTAAGTGATAAGAAGATAGCCAACCCATCTGATAGAGAGTTCAAAGCCCTGGTAATCAAAATGTTCACAGCACTGTTTCGGCTTGGTTGCAAAATGAAAGAGCAAATAAAAGATACTCAAAGTGAAATAAAGCAAAATATTCAGGGGACTAACAGTCACAGAAAAGAAACCAGGACTCAAATCAACAATTTGGAACAAAAGGAAGAAATAATCATCCAACTGGAACAGAATAAAGAAACAAAAATTTAAAAAATGAGGAGAGGCTTAGGAACCTCTGGGACAACTTGAAATATTCCAACATTCAAATCATAGGGGTGCCAGAAGGAGAAGAGGAAGACCAAGACATTGAAAACCTATTCAAACAAATAAGAAAATAGACTTCCAGAAAGACCAGGAAGCCCAGAAAGTCCCAAAGAAGTTGGACCCAAAGAGGAATACACCAAAGCACATCATCATTAAGTTACCCAAGATTAAAGATAGAGAGAGAATCTTAAAAGTAGCAAGAGAAAAGGAGACAGTTACCTACAAAGGAGTTCCCATCAGACTATCAGCTGATTTATCAAAAGAAAACTTACAGACTAGAAGGGGCTGGAAAGAAGTATCCCAAGTCATGAAAGGCAAAGACCTACATCAAAGATTAGTCTATCCAGCAAAATTATCATTTGGAATGGAAGGGCAGATAGGGTGCTTCCCAGATAAGGTCAAGTTAAAGGAGGTCATTCTCACTAAGCCCTTATTACATGAAATGTTAAAGGGACTTAACCTAAGAAAAAGAAGATCAACTTACAACTACCAACAAATGAACTTAAAAAAAGAAAAACAATGAAAATGAAAACTGAGCAAACAACTAGAACAGGAACAGAATCAGAGAAACAGACATCACATGGAGGGTTTTCAGTGGGGAGGGGGAGGGAAGGAATGGGGGGAAGGTACAGTGAAGAAGAAGCATAACTGGTAGGCATAAAATAGGTGAGGAGAGGTCGACAATGGTATAGGGAAAGGATAATTCAAAGAACTTACATGTACAAGCCATGGACATGAACTAAAGTGGGGAATGCTGGAGGGTTGGGGAGC